GAGTAGAAATTCCCCCTGGGTCAGCAGAGTGCCTAAGAAGCTGTCAGGTCTTGCCATCCTTCTGTTCCTTCCTGAAACCTTGGCACTCGCCGACTCCCTGTGCACGTAGCATCCTCACAGCCCACCCTCACAGTGTCAGTCTAGTTAGCCAAGCCAGAATGGACCCTGGGAAGGAGACGTGTGGAGTGTTGTTGTGAGCAGACATCGAGGACTGCTTTAATCCCCAGGAGGAGCGTATCAGGTATTTTCGGGTGTAGGAGTGGGGACTGTGTGCAAATGAGGTACATGCTAATTGTCCCTTTTCTATTTATTAAACATCCCAGAGGATTAGTCACTTTCCAGACCATGAGTTTTAGTGAGTCAGACAGACTACGTGTAAATATCATGGGGACTCACAGAGAACAAGAAATTGGGGAGAGCGTGATCAATTGACCACGACAACTGGTGCCTTTCGGCAAACACAGATTATTTCTGGCATTTTGAAGAACTAAATTGCCTACACTGTGTTTTTTAGTGAAGAGCTCTGTCTAGTAAAGTTCAGATGTTTTGAGAGCCTTAGTGGAATAAACCGTGTTTCTCCAAGTGTGTCTTCAAATCCCCTGGGCTGCTTGTTGACCAGCAGATTCCTGGCCCTTCTCGCAGTCCTGTTGGCACAGACTTTAGAGGGACAGTTTGGGGTCTGCATGTTTAACTAGCCCCCTATGGTCCTACCTGTTTCTCTGAGACGTTTTGTAAAAATTATGGCTTGGTGTTGAATTTTGTCACGTGCCTTTTCTATGTCGGTGGATATAAACGTGTGCCTTTTCTTCTTTAGCACATCAATATGGTAGGTTACATTGATTTGTGCATCTTGATCCGCCCTGGTGCCCCTTGGTGAACCCCACATGGACGTGGTGTATAATTCTTTTTATATATTGCTAAATTCTGCTTGCTAATATTAAGGATTTTTTAATCTATGTTCAGATAAATTATTTAAATGCAGAATATCTGGTATGCCTACAAGTAGGCAAATCTTTGTGCAAGAAAGCCAGCCTGTGCTTTGTTTCAAGGACAGAATTTGGCTCTGAAGTTTAAGGGTGTGCTGGAAATTACTGAAAACAAACGAACAAGACAAAGCAAGAACGCCCAGATGAGCCCAAGCAGGTGGACAGAACGTGCTGAGGGCGAGCAGAGCGGTTGCCGGGGAGGCGGGGAGTGTCGTCTGACTGCTGTTGGCAGAGACTTTCCAGAAGCTTCAGGGAAGACACATAGGTGTCTTTTTTTTTTAATACAACCTTTGCACTTTCTGCTAAGACAATTTCCCAAATTGAGTTCTGTGTTGTTGGTTAACTTGTTTTCTGAAGTCTTTTGTAGGCTCACTGTGAGCTGGAGTCACTCAGTGGCAGTGGGCTGCTTTCCCCTGCTGTGCAAGTGTGTGGCCCTGGTGCTACGTGAGCAGGTGCTCTGGTTGGCCTCCAGCTTTTTAGGGTAAAAAAGCCACGCACGTGTCCTCCGGAAAAAGGTTTAACTAATGTGTGTTTTAAACATTTGCATTTTGGAGAGATGGGTTGGGAACAGTGGACTCTTGAGATTGACGAGAACTGGGTTTTATATCTGGCTTGACACTGATTACAATTGAACCATTGCCAAGACTTCGCTTCTCTCAGCTTCGGTTTCTGTCTTTTGTAAAATATGGGGAGGGGGGTGTCTCTGGGATGATTGAGTATCCAGTGAGGTACAGAACAGGACAGAGCTGTGGCCTCCACAAAGCCCCTCACCAGCGAACTGAAGGCAGTGGTGGCCTATTACTGCTTTTCTGTGGCCCTCACCAGCGAACTAAAGGCAGTGGTGGCCTATTACTGGTTTTCTGTGGTTAGTAAAGGGTTGCATGATGAGAAGGATGGTACGGATGAAATGTCTCTTGGCACACTCCGTGGCCTTTTTATGTAGCCACTGCAGAAATCTGTGGGAGAAGCTTGACAATGGTCATCACATAGTATTGAGACCAAACTCAGGGCTTTAGGAAATTAACTTTCTTGTAGGGGGGGAGGCAGGGGTGGAGTTATACAGCCTCTTAACTCAGTGAAGGTGGTACCCATCCAAGAGAAAACCGCCTACTAATAGGGTGCATTCCGAGGGCACTGTGACGCCAAGGCCTTTGTACCAGTTGGATCTGTCTTTTGCTGAAATCCATCGAGGTGGGCGTGGGGCAAGTTCTATTTTTAAGAGGATGGGTGTCAGATTTATTTTGTGAGACCATTATAATCAAATCTATTTACTCCAATTGTTTGCTCTTTGACCAATTAATTTTGAGATGATGGTGAAGTCAGACTGTTCACTTCAGATGAAGTCCTTTGGAACCAGCCCATGCTGTTTTAACTCAGTTTCATTTCCTGGTGGGTATGGAGCAGGTTTGTCCCCTTCATCTTCTTCGAGGAAGGGCATAAGCTCCTTAAGCACAGGTGAGTTTCAGTGAGAAGAGAGGGAGTCTTTTTGGAAACTGCTTTGCCCTGATTCAGAAGCTCTGAGGGATTTTCAAGCCCCTTTTCAACATCTAGAGAGTGATCACTTGTCAGTGGGTTTTTTTTTTTAATTCCCTCTTTCTCCTTTCAAAGGGAGCTCTGGTGGCGTAGTGCCTAAGGCACTTGACTGTTAACCAGAAGGCTGGCGGTTCAAACCCACCAGCCACTCCTCGGAAGGAAGGTTGGGCAATCTACTTCCGTAGTGATACCGCCTCAGAAACCCAAGGAGGGGTTGCTATGAGTCGGATCCGACTTCACAGCACATAACAACTCCTTTCAAAAACTCATTCCCTCTTTTTCCAGTCTAAAAATAAGCAAACATTAATGAATTCATTCTCTTTCCTCTCTCTTTTTCCTATGTCTATAATTACATATTTCTTAGAGAATTGTATTTTAATGAGATTGTCAGATGGTTTCCCAGCCAACGCCCAGTCCATGAAATTTTAGGGCATTAAAATGTAAGACTAATTCTGCATTGCAGAAATTCTTAACAGAGCGTTAGAATCAGGTGGGATGGATGGGACCTAAAGAAGCAGACTCTTAACAATACTTTACAGAACTGTGAAGCTCCAGCTGGTTTCCTTCCTTGTTCCAAACAGCTTCAGAACCTGGATGAGTGACCTTTATTTTCTTCTCTAGACTATAATTTCCCATGACTATTTATGGTCTGCGCAGTCCTTCTCCGAGTTCCTTTTTTTTTTTTAAATGTCAATGGAATACGTGTTTCTTTAATGGAAAATATTCTATTTTGGGGAAGCTGCTTTTCCTCAGATGAGTGGAAGTGTGTGTGTGTGTGTGTGTGTGTGTGTGTAAGGCAGTGTTTAGGAAGTACAAGATTGGAGAGTTAAGAGTTAAATCAGTGGATTTAGAGTTTAGAGGGACAGTCCTGGTGATGACTCCTCAATACGTGTGTGTGTGTGTGTGTGTGTGTGTATTTGTTGTTGTTGTTATCATGTGCTGTCGAGTCGGCCCCGACTCATAGCGACCCCTCCTTGGGTTGCCGAGGCAGTATCACTACGGAAGTAGATTGCCCAACCTTCCTTCCGAGGAGTGGCTGGTAAGTTTGAACTGCCAGCCTTCTGGTTAGCAGTCAAGTGCCTTAGGCACTGTGCTACCAGAGCTCCATATGTGTGTGTGTGTGTGTACACACACACACACGTTTTTTTGCTTTTGTGCAAATTTTACTGAAGTATTATATAAATAACCTGTTGTTGTTGACTCAATTTTGACTCACAGCAACCCTATAGGACAGAGTAGAAGTACCCCATAGGGGTTCCAAGGCTGTAAATCTTTATGGAACCATACTGCCTCATCTTTCTCCCTCGGAGTGCCTGGTGGGTTCGGAGTGCCTGGTTGGTTAGTGGCCAGGTGCTTAACTATGGTGCCACCAGAAAAGTAACCACCTCGTAAGTGCATGACTTGGTAGATGTTCTCAGAGTGAACGTCCTTGTGTAACCAGCACCAAGTTCAAGAAGCAAGCAGTGTGTTCTCAAAGTCCTAGAATCCCCTCGTAGGTGGTGCTTATCTTGAAAATAAATATGTGCCTAAGACACGTGCCTCAGAAAGCCAAGGAGGCATCACTGTGCGTTGGATCCGACTCAACGTCAGTTAGTTTAGTTTTTTTTTTTTTCAAGATACACTAAAAACTAAGTTTTTATCCTCTGAAATGAGATCTTTTAACAGAGCTAATAGCTTGCACAGCAGCAGGACACAGCACCAGCACCAGCACCGTTACATACAGACTGTGCAGCGGGCCATCTACGGGAGCCAGGATGCCTAAGAACATCATTTCAATAGGGGACTCCCCACCCACCACCTAATGGAAACCACCTCTGACTTCTGATACCATAGATAGTTTTGCCTGACTTTGAACTCTATCAGTATGGAGCCATGCGGCTACCTACTTGTGTGGCTTCTTTGACTCAGAGTCATACGTAGGTTTCGTCCTGTTTTTGCACGTGGTTGGGGCTCTTCGTTGGCATGGCTGTGTCATGTTCCGTCATTGGAACGCAGAGGGAGCTATCTCTTACAGTTATGACTGTATCAGTGAAAAATGATTTAAATGTCCTGACTGAAGAGGACTTGGCCCCTGTGGTGTACGTGTATGTGATCTCATGCCTCAGTGTTTTACGACTACTAGAAAGAACTCTCTTCTTAAAAGCTGGTCATTTGTCCCTCTTTCTAGGTCAGAATATTAACTCCATCTTACCACTCTCCTCTCCCCTCAGCCCCACAGCGGTAGAACCATTCCATCCCTTCCGCCTACCTGTGTACTCCCTTGCAGTCGATTTATCCCTTTGTATTTGTCACAGATTGATAGCTGCTTCATTGTCATAGGTGGTGGTTCAGGTATCTGTATGCCTGCTAAATTTTAACTCCTGTTTCTAAACCTGGTGTCTGCTACCCCTGGCATCCATCAGGATGTGTGGAGGTTTGCTGAGGATTCTGAATTTGAGCTTTGGTTCATCACCTGGGTCCTGTTGCCTTTTGTCATTGTAGCCTGAGGTTCCTGAATGCGTCTGCAAACAAGCTGGAAACTCTTCCGCCAGCCACACTTTCTGAAGAGATGAGCAGCATCTTACAAGAGTTGTATCTGACAAACAACAGCCTCACCGATAAGTGTGTGCCCTTGTTAACAGGGCACCCCCATCTGAAGATTCTCCACATGGCCTACAACCGACTTCAGAGTTTCCCAGCAAGGTAAAGGAGGGGCGGAAAGCAAGGGGCTTCATTGCATTGCTAAAAACGGATTCACAAATGCGGAGGGGAAAGGAGAAAGCAAAGGTGTTTATTTCTCAGAGAATATAAAGCTTCTTTCTCCTCCGTTCATGTTCACAGCTGTCTTTTCTACAAGCCACGCTCAGCATTCTCCTAGAGAAACGTACTGATGTTACGATAACAACGTACCCAAAGAGCCACTAGGACATTCTTAGGATTTTGAAATAAAGTATGTTATTTAGTGGCTATATTTTTATTGCTTGTTTTTAAGCATCAAATTAACTTTTGAAAACTCGCCTAATACGGTATGTGGCCATTAGAATGTAAACTAGGACCAGTGCAGTGGAGTCTGCAGCCATGGAAGCTGTGTGACGTTGTGAATAGCTCATGGCTGTAGGTCAGGTTTCGGCGGCCACTTCCCCTCTTTGGTAGCGGTGGCATTGTGCCTCGCTGAGAGTGAGTCCGCGCAGAGACTGTCCTGAAGGTTTCCTCCACTCCCACAGCACTGGCATCTGCCCCCCTCACAAGTTGGAGCGTGGGACACACACCCACACATCGAAGCAAACACTAACCCCTCTGGTATTATGCTGGGGATGGCACCTGAGAATTGGGGCCACGTGAAAATACTTCACAACCCCCGATGCTGCCAGGAGAACTGCCAGTCTACGTGCCCTTGCCACCGAAGCAGGAAGGCCCCACCGGCATTTCCTTAAACTCTTGCTCTGGCTTTTGTCATACATATTTATTCTTCTTTTTCTCATTTGATGGTAATGGTCAGACTACTATTTTGTTTACTTCCTGTGTACTTTTATTTACTATTTGATAGGTACTGTTTTTGGAGAAACATGCTAATCACATAACAGTAACACACCAGGAGGGGTTCATGGTCCTGTTGCAGATGGTGAATATCTAAACCCGTTGGGTGAAAGGACTGGGCTCTCTGACTCTGAGGATACCCACCCCCAGAGCCACCTGCCACCCCAATGCAAAGAAGTTTCATGTGTACCTGGCAGAGCTCCGTCTTGCTGTAATTTCCAGCTCCCTTCAGGGGCTTGTGACGTGGCAGGGTAGCTCTTCTTCAAGACCTCGAGCCCCTAAAGGGTCAGGACCGTGTGTGCTTTTCTCCCCGAACCTTAGGCTCACCCACGGTCTGGCCATAGTGGGCATTCAACAAATGGTCGCTGACCTGAAGAATCCACTCCAGAGTTAAGGTCATTCTTGGACCACCTTTCTCTGTTGAAAGCTATAAACTTGTGTAACTTTTCCTCCTTAGGCCTAATTTCTTTATTTTGTATGTCCCATTACCCCTTGGCTTCTCCATACTTCTTTCATACTGTGATGACCGCATATTGAAATGATGTTCTTAGGCATCCTGGCTGCCGTAGATGGCCCGCTGCACAGTCTGTATGTAACGGTGCTGGTGCTGTGTCCTGCTGCTGTGCAAGCTATTAGTTCTGTTAAAAGATCTTATTTCAGAAGATAAAAACTTAGTTCTTTGTGTATCTTAAAAAAAAAGAAACCAAACTCACTGCCATTCAGTTGGATCCAACTCATAGTGACTCCTGCTTGGGTTTCCAAGGCATGTATCTTAGGCACATACTTATTTTCAGGATAAGCAAATAAGAAAACCTTTATATTTAGGAGATGGTGGAAAAGTTTGGGTGTTTTGGTTTTTTTTTTTTTTTTTGCTAAGTATTTTAGAGGTGTGTTGCCTCACATGAAACCATAACAAGAAGATAAGACACCAGCAGCCCTGCACTGAGTGGTCCAGGTTACAGGTCTGAGTTCCACTCACTGGAAACCCTGTGCATTTGGAGTCCAGCATCCGTGGTGCACAGTGTGGACTGAGGATCAGGGGAGTGGCAGATACTAGAGAGAGCTCACAGAGGGGAAGGGCTGTTTGCTTGTCCAAACTTAGGAAGAAAGCAAGAGACCATAACCCTGAAATGTTTCTTTATTTGGTTACTGCAGTTACTGTGTAGTATGTTAAGACTGAACAGTAAAAGGTATTACTAAATGAAAATGTCAAATTATGTGAGAACATGCTTTTAAGATTAGGTTGGAAAGAGTCCTTCTTTATAGATGGTTAGCAGGGGTTGGGTTCTTTGGGGCACAGTTTGAATTCAGGCACTGCCAGAAGCTAACCTATGATCTGGGTGACCTTTCCACATGCCCCTGCGCCCCACAACCACCTTGTCGTCAGGAGTAATGTCCGAGGAACCCTGGAAGTGGGCGTTTAGGAAAAAGCAGATCTTACTATACACTCTAGCCTGTTCTCCTCGACACCCCTGTAAGTTCTCAGCCACTACAAAGGAGTCATACTCTGAGCTAAACGCTTTCGGGGCAGTTATGCTGGATTCATGCTGGCCTTTGACCCGGTTTTCATTGAAGTTCCGACGAAGCTACAGAGGAAAGTGATTATTGTTGGGTAACTTAACTCACACGCAGATTTTTATGAAGAAAAGAAAATGCATTTTTCTTCCTGATGCCAGTTTGAGGAGTTGAGATGAATAGTTTTGTTGTGGGGAAAGAGGTGTGTTAAAGTACTTTAATACTCAAACAATAGCAGATTTTTTTTAAGATGACTGTTACACGTGAATCTTTAAAGAATCATTAACATCATAATAAATCCCCCTTTTTATTCTCATTAAATATGGTTTTCTTTTTAAATTGCCTTATAATTATTTTATAATCCACCCCCCTAATGGATTTTCTCTTTTTTAGTAAAATGGCAAAACTGGAGGAACTTGAGGAAGTGGATGTCAGCGGGAATAAACTGAAAGCCATCCCGACCACCATCATGAGCTGCCGGCGCATGCACACCGTGATTGCGCACTCCAACTGCATTGAAGTCTTTCCGGAAGTCATGCAGCTGCCGGAAATTAAGGTGTGCTCCGATTCCACACACTCTAAGTGTCTGGTCGGTAGAGAGAGTCATTCTCCCCAGGTCATTGGCTTAAGACGTTTGCAGCTTTGTTGGGTGTACTTAGAATGAAGACTCTCAGTATTCCTTGTTCCATCCTTCCTAACCTCTGGTCTGCACTGTGCAGGCAACAGAGTTAAAAAAAGAAAAGAAAAGAAAAAAACACCAGGCCAGAAGTTGGGAAGATTGTATTCCTGGGCTCTGTCCTAACTGGCTGTATGACATGAGGCCAACCACGTAACTCCCTAAAACAGCTTTCCCCAACTGTGTAATCATGCTTATCCTGCCTGCTAACAGGGTGGGTTTGAGCCTATGAGCTTGAGTCAGATGTAAAAGGAAGTTAACAGTGTCCCTGACTCCCTGCCCCACCACCAGACCCAGCGAGTGATAGTCCCTGGGTAGATAGGCAACATTGCTGTGACGTCAGACATTCATTTCAACTGAACAAAATGGACAGAACAGACGTCATTATTCTTATTTGATAGGTGAAGAAACTGAGGTGCTGAAATGAAATGATTTGTGTAAACAGCAGCAACACATTGGTGGCAGAGACGGTGTGTGGTCTGAGTCCCAGCTGCAGGGCTAACCTGCGGGCTTTTGGTTCCATTCCCCAGGAGGAAACCGTCCAGCAGTTTTGCCATCGCAGGGTTATGCCTTTTGTTTTAACCTCACGGTTGTGCCCATCTCTGTCATCCCAGGGAATGAGATGTGCAAACACAGGAAGTACAGCTCTGTGTTTGCCTCGTGGCATTGCTGAGTATCATGGATTTTATACTTAATAAAAAATACCGCAGTGGTTACAGACTCGGAGCATGCTCTGGTCCTGTTCGTCAGGAAAACATGTGGTTGTCCTTAGCCATTCTTCCTGCCCAGGCACTTTTTGGTAGAAACTTTGTGTATCAGGCATCGGAAGACACTTTAAATAGCTTTCATAACTTCTCAGCATGACAGTTCTTAGATATTTACACGATTAAAGTATGAGCAAGCAAGTATGCACAGGTGTGTGTCCTTTAGGCCATACAGCGTTGTACTTGGAGCTGTGAAAGCCCTGTGGTCTCACATATCACATTGACATTTTGGAATGACGATTATTAGGAGCCCTGGTGGCACAGTAGTTAAATGCCCGACTGCCAACCAAAATGTCAGCAGTTTGAACAAAGCAGCCATTCTGTGGGAGAAAGATGTGGCAGTCTGCTCCCATAACGGTTTACAGCTTTGGGAACCTGTGCAGTAGTTCTGTTCGGTCCTGGCAGATTACTACGAGTTGGAATCAACTCCACGGTGGTCGGTTTCGTGTTTTGGTTGTTATAAACTTACAGAGATACATCCCTTTTTCTTTCTATGTAGTCCCTTTTGTAATGGTTAAGAACCTGGAACCTGAAGAGAGACAGACCTTGAGTGGGATCTCAGCTAAAACAACCTACCTGCTGTTGCCTGAGATGTAAGATGAGGAGACAGGCACTTCCCTTACAGCGGTGCTGTGAGGATGACTTGAAATAGTGCACAGAAAGCATTTGAAAGAGGACCAGCCCCTGAGAAGAACTCCATCATATTAGCCAGTATTAATACAGCCCTTGATGTGGTCCAACTGGGATGTTGATTACCTGGAGCAAGTATTTTGGCCGAAGCTCAACAAAGTCCAGAAGCTGTTATTATTTGAGCAAACACGGCTTTGCCTCCAGCACAGTAAAGATGTTGACAGTTGAGCTTACCCATGGGTCCTAAGCTGCCCGGTCCTTGACTTAGCCACTGGGCTGTGCTGCTTTTTACCAGGGGTTGTTAAACTGGTAAAACGCCCTGGTGACATGGCGGTTAAGTGCTCTGCTACTAACTGAAAGATCAAGAGTTCTAACGTATCAGCCGCTCTGTGGGAGAAAGACATGGCAGTCTGCTTCCGGAAAAGATAACAGCTTTGGAAACTGGAGCATTTCTGTTCTGTCCTGTCAGGTCTCCGTGAGTCAGAAACGATGGCAGCAGATCTGGTTTTTTGCGGTGTTGTAAACTGGTGTCTCGGGGCCAGGTTCACTAGCCCAAAGACAGTGGCGGCTCCAGGTTAACCTCCCGTTTGCCGGCTTTGGCTTCCACACCTGTTCTTTACTGCTGGCTGGGTAGTTTGCGTTTTTCCTAAAGTACCCAGTTCAAAATCCATTGCTGTCAAGTCGACTCTGACTCATAGCACCCTATAGCACAGAGTGTAACTGCCTTAGAGGGTTTTCAAGGCTGTAATCTTTATGGAAACAGACTGCTTCATCTCTGTCCTGTGGAGCTGGCAGGTGGGGTCAAATACAGGTAGGCATTTAAATGTTTTTCGGTTTTGATTAAATTTTTCAAAATTTGAAACTTGCTGTATGAAACCCTTTCTCTCCTAGACGCTTGCTCGAATTCCTGGAGTCCAAAACCCATGCCTTCTGTGGGGTTCCATTCCTCCCCTTATTGTTGTCTTGGGCCTGCTTTGTTGTTGTTGTTGTTATGTGCCGTCGAGTCAGACCTGACTCATAGTGACCCCTCCTTGGGTTTCCAAGGCAGTATCACTGCAGAAGTAGATTGCCCCATCTTCCTTCCGAGGAGTGGCTGGTGGGTTTGAACCGCCAGCCTTCTGGTTAGCAGTCAAGTGCCTTAGGCACTATGCTACCAGAGCTCCAGGGCCTGCTTTACAGCTCCCTTTAAAATTGTGCTTCCTCGGTGATGGTGTTGCTTTCTAAATGATTCTCATCTTTTGTTCTTTGATTGGATTGGATTTTTCAAATCACAGCTGTTGTGTCTTAGCAATAGAGATTTTGTTGTTGGCTTTTTGAGGGAATAGGAGATGAACACTATCAGGTACCCTAAGTTTATGGGCAAAGTGTAAGTTTTGGACAGGTAGTGTTTTGTTGTTGCTTTGTGCCATCAAGTCGGACCCGACTCATAGCGACCCCTCCTTGGGTTTCCAAGGTGTTGTCACTACGGAAGTAATTGCCCAGCCTTCCTTCCAAGGAGTGGCTGGTGGGTTTGAACCGCCAGCCTTCTGGTTAGCAGTCAAGTGCCTTAGGCACTACGCTACCAGAGCTCCCGTTTAAAACGATAGTAGTTACATTGCTTTGGAACTCTGAGCTGATTGTCTGGTGTTCTTTCATTCAAGGACATTTTAAGTTGCTGTTTAAGTATTTACATACATCGAAGCCTCCAAAAGAAAATTCCTGCCAAAAATAGTTGTGGAATCTTTCCGTCTCCAGGATGAGCTGTTCTTGCCTGTATTAGACTTTTATTATTGCGGTAATAACCCCAGACTATATTCATATTGCTTCTTGTAAAGTATCTCATGGAAGGCACTGAGACCCTTGTAAGGATAACAGCTTAGCAGATAATGTAATTTGAAGGCGGTAAGTTGGTGGTGTGTGGGCAGACCCTGATGTCCAGTGTATTCAGGTGACAACAACGCTTGCAACCATCTTTTTTTGCTGTTTTTATGGTACATTTTGTCATTATTAATATGCACTACATGCAGTGTTGCAGCGCGTGATTTGCTGATGTTGTCCTTCTCGGACGCTCACTCACAGACTTTCAGTGTTAGGACTTAATGTTCATTACACTGCAGTGTAGCAGGCTGTGGACTCTTAAAAAGAGAAGCGGTATCAACTTCTATCAGAACCAACTTAGAGCAGAGTCCCGAGAGTGGAAGCCTGTTGTAAGTCAGGGACTGCTTGTTTTAACTAGCCAGGACCTCCAAGCCATCTTTACCTGAAGACAGGAGAAGAACGGGCTTACTCAGAATGTGTTCCCAAAGCTTCAAAAAACAATTAAAGAGCAAAGACGCTTCCTCATTTAAGTATGTGTGCTGACATTCATCCCCAAAAGCTTAAAGCATTAGGCCATTATCCATGTCCCTCTAAAACTGAGGCCGTATGCTCTCTATTATCTGGAGTAAAATTTAGGTCTGGCCTTTTCTGTTACAATGACCATCACTCACCAATTTCTGTTCTTGGAGGGAGGTCATAGAAGTTTCGGTAGAAAAAGTGTATTTTTTCAGAGTTTTCTGATGAGCCCAAATGGACCGAAAGTCCATTTAGGCTCCTTATTGTTTTCACCTGTGTTTCACACTTCCAAATTAATCTTCCAGATCCTTGCAATCATTCTTTTATTCTTTGATTGATCACTAGAGCAGATCAGGCCCTGTCCTAAAATAGGCAAAGCTCCCTCTAGACCCAGGTCAGCTTTCCATCAGCTAGAGAGGAGAGTGGGGTCCCAGCACCACATGTAAGCAGGAGTTGGCTAGACAGCAAGAAAACAAACCAAACTCACTGCCGTTGAGTCCATTTTGACTTATAGCGACCCCTCCTTGGGTTTCCAAGGCAGTATCAGTATGGAAGTAGATTGTCCAATCTTCCTTCTGATGAGTGGGTAGTAGGTTTGAACCACCAACCATCTGGTTTGCACTCAAATGCCTTAGGCACTGTGCCACCAGAGCTCCTGTGTCCATATTTAGGCACCTGATGGCTGATGGCCCCAAGAAGCAGAAGTGGCTCTCAGGCCCCCTTCCTCAGGGTTCTTCCACTGGACCCCAAGAAGCAATAATTCCCAATTAGTGACTTCTTCAACCCCTTTTGGAAGTGTGTCTTACGCACATGAAATAAATGTGTGACACATGTAGTGAACAGAATTTATAATTTGGGATTTGAACACCATATTATGAACTTTGTCA